TAGAAATTTGTAATAAGATACATAATGCGGTTATAATAAAATATTGTGCGATTATTTTCATATAATTAAAATTAATATGTATTTATTTTTTAGAAAATACAAGGGAAGCGGCGCATCCACCGCTTCCAACGACGGCACGCTACTGAACTAATCCCTATTCAGACGTTACAGACATGAAGAAAACCAGGAAAACCACGTGTCCAGCCCGTCCGGGGACACGTGGTTTTAAGTTGATACCCGCCCCCTGACGAATTAGAATGTTTTCATTTATATATTTTAAATATATAAATAATTATTAAAACTCAATTATTGTTATTATCTATATAATATAATAAAACTATTTCCTTTCCTTAAATTAAAAAATATAAATCGACAATTAAAGATTATTAGAGTAAATAAAAAATAATTTAAAAAAACTAAATTTATGACATCATTCAAAATAAAATTTAAAAATTTTTATCTAAATCACATATATTAATATTAGAACTAAAATGAATTAAATTAAACTGTTATTTATATTAAAGAAATATGAAAGTTATATTAAAAAAAAGAAAAAAAAAAAAATGGTGCAAAACATTGCGGCAATTTCATCAGCCGGAAATATATGACGTCGAATTGTCAAATAAAATAAAAATTTAACCAATCAGATTTTAAAAATTTCCAAAATGAAACTTCTTTAAAGATTAAAACGAAAGTAAAATTATTTATCGGAAAAGAATTTCCTGTTTATATTTTAAAAATATTTATCGAGTGCGGGACTTCAGTTAGGCAGACGACAATGGCCGAAGAACTCGTGGACGAATTAGGGAAAATCAACATGGAGACCAAAGCAAAGGCAGGATTATTACGATTTTAAATTTACTTTCTTTTTTATTAAAAAAGATGTTATTTTACACGCGTTCTGCCTTTCTATTAATCAAAGAAGTCAATTATTATTGTTATAAAGGAGCCAGAATGGTTGGTTGATGGTGGCTTAGTTCAATTGAAAATCTCTTTTCTCTCACTAATTTTCCAATATTTATTAATTAGATTGATCTTTTTAATTAACTATATAACTAATTAATTAATATTTTTGCTTTTTTTGATGATTAATATGTTAATTAATTAATAATTTGTAAAATTCTTAAGTAAGAGGTAAAAATCTGTGTTAATTATTCTCAATGAGAAGTTTATTTAATTTTCAGGGTGTTTTTGTTATAATTATGAAGAAAAGTTCCATTGCAGTTTGTACATAAAGATTGCATCAGACTGATCTTATTTCAGGATGTGAGTAATTGGGACGATTACGCCTTCAAACGAGGAAGTTGGGACCTTATCGGAACAGTATTACTATGCGACCCTTTGCCAAATATCTGCCTGCTTCTGGGTCGCATGCTGTCGGGAGTTGCGTTTAACTATATGGCTGGCGTAGCTTTTAGTGGCCCGCTCAACTGTTCGTGGAGTACTCGATATTATGTGGTTTTGGGACTTGACCCGTGCGGGGTGAGTGATGGCCGCCACATGCCGGCCATCACTCACCCCGCGGTCATCACTCACCCCCCGGCCATCACTCACTGGCGGTCATCACTCACCTTCCGTGAGTGATGCGGATGGTGATGTGGAACATGGAGAATAGGTGGTATATTGATCCGTGGTAGAAACTGACCTTTGGAGGCGAATATCTCGCAAAGGGTCGCTTGTATGGGTATAGTTTCGTTGGCTTTTTTGCTCGTACGGGGTATAACTGGGGTGGCAAATTCCTCAGAGTTTTCATCTTACCGATTGAGTGATGAAATCGTGTTATCAGTTTTGTAAGATTGTTCAAATATGGCTTCAATTCTCATAATTGCTTCATTATACAGTTTTTTTTATTCAACTCTTTCTGTTCTAAAGTCACTAATAGGGCTTTATAAAAAATTGGCTGTAAATTTTATGTAACAGTAATGTCAAAATTGTCATTACGTAAATAAACAACTTTGCTAACCTGATATTTTAAAACCAGATAATTGCTGAATTATTGGGCTATAAAAAGGTTAAGGTACGAAGTAAGATAAGCAATCTAGACAAATTACTCTGTATCTAATTATTAACTTATCCTTTTCATAGACCGATATTTCGGCAGATTTCTTGTTTTAATTATCATTACAAATAAACAGTTGAATTGTGCTAGATATTTAATTTATTATTTTATAAATAAGCATCACTTATTAACTGACAAAAGCAAGAAGTTTGCTAAAAAACTTGGGTTAAAAAAATTATGTGGAATATGGAAACATTAACGTAACAAATGATTGTTTAACATAGGGCTATTTTTCATTTTTACTCTTCGCTTTGTGCACAAAGAGGGTCTTTTTTACACTTACTGCATTTAGCCAAACCTATAGTAGGAGTGGTTAGTAGGTGAGGAATGAGGCCAACTTATCCAGGACACTCACTGCCGATGGATTTCTTATCTGGATTCAATCCTGGATCTCCCAAGCAGCAGCCTGATGTCGTTGCTACTTTGCCCATCTAGCTGTTAACATTGATATGTATTTTTAATAGTTTATATAATTAGAAGAGTAAAATTATTAATTTAATGTTTCATTCAGTCCAATACTTTCTGTTTAAGATATGCCAAACTTTCATTTGTTATTAGATCGGACGACACTGCATATTTTTGATATGTAATGAGTTGTCGAGATTTTTTAATATTAATTTCCTCTCGCTTAAATAATCATATTTAGTAAATTTATATTATTTGCGAAAGCTGAAATTCATTTAATTACTGATGAAGTTAATCTGTAAATAAAATTTTGTTAGAAAGTCAAAAAGTAAATATAAGGAGTGATTTATATCAAGTATATAATATATCTGCATAAGTCTTTAATAATATTTATTATGTTGTTGTTATGTTAATCGAGAGATACCTGTATTGCTTGAAAATCTAAATTAACATAAGTTTATGTATAAGAAATGTTATCGTCATATTTTTTTGATTCAAAAACACAATTTTTACTTGTTTAAAATACAGATGCATTCTTAAAATTATTGGCATCCTATAATCTGTTTGCTATAACTTTGTGCATAAAATAAAGTGGTAAAGTGACCATCTCATTGCTTTACATTACAAAATGTATCTTTCCGTGTTCTCATTTTAGAAGCAACAGCAGTGTAGTTCCAGAGATCATTGTTTTTTGCAAAGTATTTCTTGCAGAAGATGGCACGAAGTTAAAGTTAATAGACTACACGTTCACAGCCCTAAACAACAATCGGCAATCATCACAAGTAGACCAATTATAACTGTTTTTGTCTATATTACTCAACATTTACACACTTCAAATAAGCTTTGCTGGTAACAAATGTGTCCTTAAACATATTTTTAACATTTAAAATGCCTCCAAAAGATGATATGCCCACGATAAAGCATTAAATATAAATCAGAGGTTAATGTCTAGCATTTTTTATTGACATAAGCATTTGGTGTATTTTGCTTTCAGCTGCATAATGTGGGAAGATATTTTGGTTCTTCAGTTATTGATATAGAAGTAAAAAAATTTTAATTGCTTAATTTATGCTTAATAAATTGAAAGCTTTTTATGAATTCTCTATCAAAATCAATAGTAATGAGAGAGAGAGAGATCTCTCTTAAATACTTTCTGAGTATAAGGAAGTATTGGTCATAACATATTTTTTTATAGAAGTAATAAAAGAAACAAATTTATCACACTTGGATATTTTTATTGGAAGTTTTATGTAATTATTTTGAAAATTTTGTTTAGCATCTAAATCATTGTAATCTATAGACTTTGATATTGGTTAAGCTACATTTTCTAAACAAAATGATTAATCAGAATTGCAGATTTCTGCATAAGATGGCAATTATCAATAACTATATATTTTGTTTACTTTAAAATTCCATTGCATTATATCTTAAATTATTTATTGTAATGACAAAGTGTCACTACAGTAATTGACTCAGCAAATTTGATGAGATATTTAAATACAGACAGTTAAATATGAAAGCACTTGTGTTTGTTTATTCTGTTCCTTATTTTGTCTGTCTGTCTTTAATTACTTGTTGTTTTTTTATTTTTTTATTTTTGTTAATTTTGGAAGTTAGAGATTCCTTATGATGTGTAAATAAGCAAATACAGTTATCAATTGATTAATGCACTTAATTAATCCCTCGATATCCTACCGCATATATCAAAATTGCGTTAATCAAAATATGGTGCCTGAGTTAAGTAAAGATGGCTGTTAAAGCTGCATAAATTAAAACTTCTGCCATGTATATAAAGGAATTGCTGCAATTAATTTAGTGCCCTTATCAAATCTCATGTTAAGCAAAGGATATCTGTAGATTACCTTAAGGTGGTTCCACGTGTTCGGTATTTACTACTTGCTGAACGATTGCCTATTTATTCCCTTTGATTTGATATAATATAACGACGGAATGGGGATGGCAAATACTGGATATTGGTCACGAGTAAATTATTCATACTATGTGGTATTGGTCTTTTTGACTGTATATACAATAATCAATATAATTAATAAACCTTTTTAGTAAATCACGGGTTATAGTAATGCTATACTAAGTGCTGTACTGACTTCTAAAGTGAAAAGATAGATACAAATTATTAAATTTAGAGCAGATAGAAAATTATATAAATCATGTTTAGGAACAATCATTTTTTTTGTAACATGGTATGGTTTCCTTATAACAGTCCATTAAATAACCCAGCAGTTTGTTTGGCATATTTGCATGTCTGCTTTGTACATTCCTGTGTTGGTACTATATTTGGTTAGAGCACATCTTTCACATCTATGAGGTCTGTCTGGAAAGTTTGCAAACTTTGCAAATAGAAGTTGTTTGCATTTGCCTAGCAGCCAGTCAGTTTTGTCTCCTTCAAAAAAGTCCCCTCTATGTCTATGTACCAAATTCAGCATTTCTGCCACAAAAAGAATGCGTCCTGAAATGCAATCAACATGTGTTTACAGAAATGAATGTAATGCAACAAATGAAGATAGAACAAACTGCTTTCAGCAGATAGTACATAAAACTTGCACAGGCTGCATTTGGATTCAATTATTACTTTGTGCATAATTTAAAGACTTTGTGAACTTTCCAGATAGACCTTGTAGTTGTACATGTTAATAGCACAGACATAATCAAGTTGTGAAAAATTGTGTATGAATAAATCATATTTTTGTGTGTTAATTTTATTCTTCTATTTATCTGTGTGAGATGAACAAATCCGTGCATTAGAAATATTTAACGGAAGAGACTTTATACTGTGTTTTTTATTCCGTACATTAAATCAGGAATTAATATCGGTTCTTTGGACTTTAACAGTATAGTTCATAATAATAATTAAACCAAAGTTTTCTTATGAAAGGTAGATTTAGAAAAATACTTTTGCTTTCTGTCTTAATTTTGCAAACTATAATTATAAAAACTTACAATTGCTTAAAGTGTAGGACTGAATTTTAATATATTTTATTAATTAAAAGTTATAATGCTGAACTTAAATATTTTATTATTATTATTTTTTTTGTTTAGATTTGCAATGCAAAATCTGCAAAAGCTAAGAAGAATGAGGTAATAAAAAAAAATAACAATTATATCTATTTTATTTTATATTTCTGATTAAATGAACAGTAAATTAATACGAAATTTATTGTTACAGAAAAATGTGCTTGAGCAAAGTTCAAGATCTGAGGTTTGTATCAATAAATTATTTTACTAGAATTAATATTTAGTTATTTTATATTTGACATGTAGAAATGCAAGCATTTTTTTTAAGCATTTTTTTTTTAAATCAAACATTTAAGCATTTTTTTAAAAAAATCAAACTATTCTAAAATTTTGATTTTTAAAATGCAAAGAACACGACTGTTTTTAAGCATATTTAAAAAATTAGCTCGTGAAAACTTCTTTATGATGGGATTTATATCTTTAATTAATATCAATTGATGTTATGTGTTATTGGGCTATTATAATAAAATCCAGCAACGACTTGCTTAACTTTCCTGGTAACATTTGGTTATGCCATCTGTTACGATATTTTATTAAAAAAGAACTTTATATTTTTAATCATTATAAAATGGCAAAAAACTTAATTTTGAGTAGGGATGGTTTTACGAAAAAATTGTGAATGCTAATAACGAGTAACATCTTCATTACGTCTGACCCCTCTTGAGATATGACACATGATCATGATCCCCTTGACGTTTAACCATCAAAATTTAACAGCATTAATGCCTCTAATACATAAACTCCCCTGCAGAATTTCAGAAATTTTTGACAAAGTACAAGTACAGGAGCTATTAAGCTTTAAAGTGGATGAAGAAAATCATGACCCCACACACATACACACTAAAATCTATTATGTACGGTACATAAAAAACCCCAAATTTTTTTGCATTTCTTGATGATTGTAGGTCCCGAATCCAAAAATGTAAAAATTTTGGGGTGTCGGTTTTTGTCCGATCACCATACTTTCCCTCTGTTATATATAACAGCAGGGAAAGCAACAAATTTAATAATTAAATATAATGTAATTTGACAAGAGGTAGGGGAGTAATATGAGAGTTTTCTGTTCTAATTATTTTCATTTATTTATTTATCAGGGATTTAAAACTTTGATTTAAAGTTGATTTTATGACTTTTATGTTTATGATGCCGTCTGTGTGAAGACAAGTTTTTAATTTGACTGTAAATATATTTAATAATTTATAAATTATGTTTTTATTATGCTTAATTCAAAAAAGTATACATTTACATTATCTCGAGATTTGTATATATAATTTTAAAGATAAAAATTTACAACAATTATCAGAGTACAATACGATACTTATGCTATTCAATAAATGTTTAGTTATTCAAAGTGATTAACGTTAAAAATTACTTTATGTTGAATTTCACTGCTTAAAACTTTTTTATACTTCATGTTTTAGCAGTTGCAGATTTTTACATTTTATGTTGTTTGGGATAAGGAAATGCAACATGAAGGGTTATTGTTAATGGGGTGCCTCCCAGGAGGACTTTGTGGAAAACTGACTTTTATTTAAGTGTTAGATATTTGAAGAAAATTTGGAAAATTCCACATGATTAACCCTTTGATCAGTTATGAATCTGTGACTAAATTCAAGTGTTCAGTGACTTTATCCACTGCTTTAATTTTACTTTACTTTAATTATTAAAGTNAATGTCTTTCCCCCTTACGTCGACTACTTAAAACAAATTAATATTAAAAGTTTTAGAATAATTTATTAATGCTTTTATTATTATTATTAAAATATAAATGGTAGTATTATAAAAACTTTTTTTTAACATATAATTATAATAAGGGAAGGGGAAGGAAAATGTTCCTTGTGACGTCACGTTTCATCTTTACCAATAATTAGTATTATACATTAGTAACCGGTTTCAACTTATTTCTACTTAAGAAATAATTAAGTGAGTAGGAAATTAGGAACATAAATAAAACCCTGCTTCAAGAGTCGGAATATTACTTAAACTTAGCGTGCATGCACGCCCTGCACACCAACCAGGATCGGCTCTGTGCCCATTGAAAGACACTTTACGGCCCATATGAGCGAGCAAGACAGTAAAAATAATTATTGATTATTGGCATATAGTGGTTTATTTTGATAAAAGTGTAAATAAATCATTTTATGTTAAAATCCACTACGTAACTTACTTAATATACTGTAGTTTGTCGTTATAACGCATTGTCAAGTGATAACCAATGTAACATCATTTGTGAAGGACATGGAAGGAAAGGAATCAGAAATATGGAATTTTAGCTTGATGGAATTTATATCATGAATTTTAAATATTATATTGTAAAAAATTGCCAACTAAATTAATAAAAATAGATAGTTAAATCATTAATCTGTAGTTTAATATCAGTTTTCTTGCAATAAAAAGAATTTTTAGATTGTTTTTCTTACGAAAATATGGATTTTGAATTAATTTTTGGTTTGAAAATTATGATACGACGCTTTTGCTATGTACTTTGAAATGTTCAGTATCCATTAAAGCCATCTGCCGAGGTGGAATGCCTCCCGGAAGGACCTCCACCTTGGCAGATGGTCCACGTGTTGCGGTGGCATATATAATGGCCGGTTTGCTTCTTTGTTTGTATATTAAGTTGTGATAACGCAACAGTTGAACGATCTTCCTACGGTGAATGCCTTCTGGGAGGTGTTTTAAGGGTAACTGGACCCTATTAAGGCGTTACAGACGTGGAGAAAACCCGTCCTGGAGAGGCGGGAATGCATTCTGGGAGGTCTTTTAAGGGTAACTGGATCCTATTCAGGCGTTACAGACGTGGCGCGAACCCACGATCGAACTCCCAGTGTTCAGGGAACGGAACCGCTTGGCCACTGGTGGGCCCGAATAATGGCCAGATGGCCGAGCGGTTAAGGTAATAGCCTACCGCTCTGAGGATCCAAGATCCAATCCGAAAAACCTCAAGAATTTTTCGGAGGTGGTTCGTTTCAATATATCAGACCTCATTCCTTACCACATTGTGGGCCTGGCCAAACCCACAATGGGTCTGAAAAAATCCATCTTAGTGTTCACAAGACAAAAAAAAGTAAAAAATTATTATAAGATGAATAGAAAAAGATGACTTCCGTTAGTTTCACAAGTGGGAGACCGTCTATTAGAAGTGGTGATGACGACGATGACGNTTTATGTTGTTTGGGATAAGGAAATGCAACATGAAGGGTTATTGTTAATGGGGTGCCTCCCAGGAGGACTTTGTGGAAAACTGACTTTTATTTAAGTGTTAGATATTTGAAGAAAATTTGGAAAATTCCACATGATTAACCCTTTGATCAGTTATGAATCTGTGACTAAATTCAAGTGTTCAGTGACTTTATCCACTGCTTTAATTTTACTTTACTTTAATTATTAAAGTGAATCTTTTACTTTAATAATTTTACTTTACTTTAATTATTAAAGTAAATCTTTTACCAAAGATTTACTTTAATTGCTTTGACTTGTAAAATCCTAGTTGTGTATTGCCCTGTGTTAAATGTTGAGTAATATAGTTCTTGCTATATTTGTCATTTACAGTTCTCTCTAATTATGTACTGTACAAATGTCATTGTACAGTACATCTTTTAAGTTTTGGACACATTTGTATAACCTGGTTAAGTAATCTTAACTAACTAAAAATGTATTTTGTTTAAATAATACAAATTATGTCAAAATTATGGCACTTAAATGGAAAGAAAATATTAATTTAACATTCAAGTCTGAAACAATTATCATATATGGAATGTTATTTATGTAAAGTCTCAATATGTCCAGTGTTATAAACACACAAAAGAAAAGGAAATAAAATATAAATATTTTTCCATTTTAAGTATAAACAAAATTTTGATATACCCTATAATATCTACATATATATGTATAAAGTTTTAATTATAGAAATTAAACTTCAGATTGATGGATGAAATCAATGATCATACTATTATTAATTAATATTGATTACTTATAAATTCACTAATAGATGAAATGAAATAGAATGATGATTTATGCACCATACTGATAAACAGTTGTGGAAAATATACCCAAATATGATCTGATATTTTGTTTCATCTTCTATTATTGAAAATATAATACACAGGTTGTCTAAAAAGAAACCAAACTTTTGCTCTAGAAATATAACTAGATGGTGCAACTAGCATTAATGGTCAAATTCAAAACTTTGAATGTTATGTTATCAGTCGTGTACAATTAGATTTGAATCGGTTCATAACAATACTCTGTGTGGCTTGAAATGTAAGGATTATTTTGTGGCTCTCATCAGAAAATTGTAATGGAGCAATGTGCCAACATTAAGTTCTGCATAAAACTAAAGAAAACTTTTACCGAAACGTTTAAGTTATTGAAACAAGTTTATGGGGATGATTGCCTGAGCTGAACACAAGTTTATGACTGGTTTCGTCGATTCAAATTTGGACAGGAGTCAGTTGAAAACAATTTGAAAAGTGGTCATTCTAAGATGTTGAATGTGGAGAGTAAATTGATAAAGTGTGACAATTATTAGGAAAGGATCCAAATGTGACCTGTAGAATGTTGTCAGAGGAGTTGGGAGTGTCAAAGGACTATGTCTACATAATTTTATGTAATTATTTGAACAACACAAGGTCTGTTCCCATTTTGTTCCACACTCACTCACTGAGGATCAAAAACAGGCGTGCATTCATCATGCTCAGGACATCGTCAAAACGGCTTGCCACAATCCAAGTTTTCTCGAAAATATTGTCACAAGTGAAGTGGTGCTACCAATATGACCCGTTGACAAAATGTCAAAGTTCCGCGTGGAAGTCATCAGACAAAAAAAGCTTCATTTCCAAAACTTGTGGGTCAAGACCATGCTCATCTGTTTTTATCATTTCAAAGGTATTGTGCACAAAGAATTTGTCCCAAATGGCCAGAATGTTACCGGAGAAAATTATTTGGGTGTTTTGGAACATCTCTGGAACTTAATTGTCACTGCCATTTGTCAATTTTTGACTTGAAAAGGTATTGTAATACTAGACCATCCATCCTATTCTCTCGATCTGACTCCTTGTGACTATTTTCTGTTCCCAAAACTTAATTTCAATGAAAGGAACTCTATACAAGGACATTCTCAAGATTGAGGCTACTGTGATCACAGTACTGAATCAGGTGCCAAAACAGGAGCTGAAAAAATCCTTTGAAATGCTAATTACTTCTTCTGTAATGCTGCAGAGGTTTCTTATTTCAAATAAATAAAAATATTTCTTGTAGTTTTTTTTTCTAGAGCAATAGTTTTGTTTATTTTTAGACAACTTGTGTATTTATAGTCTGATTTTAGTTGTTGTTTTAACAATTTTAAGTGGAGAATTAAAGTTTGATACCTATAATTTTATTTAAAAGTAAAAAATTTTATATAATGCTTTATTCAAATTTTATTTCATTGCAGCTAAAACCATGGCCAAGCTACATTCAAAATAGAATTGAACTTTGGAATAAATTTAAGACCAAGTACGATGCGGAGCTTTCGTCAAAAGTATCCGAGCCCATCACCATTACTTTACAAGATGGTAAGGTTATAAATGGTGAATCTTGGAAGACTACCCCATATCAGGTTGCTCAGGGAATCAGGTACTGTAAAAAGAAACTTAAAAATTAATGATTTAACTTTCTTTTTTATTTAAAAAAAAATGTTTTCTTTAGCCAAGGATTAGCTGATAATGCTGTCATATCCAAAGTGAATGGAGTCCTTTGGGATTTAGATAGGCCTTTAGAAGAAAGCTGCAATCTTAATATTTTGAGATTTGATAATGAAGAAGGTTACACTTATTTATTGTTTTTGAGAGAGATTCATTAAATTTACAAAATTTTAGATTAAATTAATCTGATATTGAATATTTAAAAACAGGTCAACAGGTATTTTGGCATTCAAGTGCACATATTTTAGGAGAAGCAATGGAAAGAATATATGGTGGTTGTTTATGCTATGGTCCTCCAATTGAGAATGGTTATTATTATGATATGTTTTTAGAAAATGGAGGCGTGTCCAGTTCTGATTATTCATCAATAGAAAGCATAATGAAAGAAATTGTTAAAGAAAAACAACCTTTTGAACGATTAGAGTTAACTAAAGAAGAATTACTTGAAATGTTTCAGGTAAAATTCTTTTAATTTGAGTTTAAAACAATTTGTTTATCAAATAAAAAATTGGTTATAATTGGATAAACATTTTCATATGAAAATAAAGATTAGGTAATTTATAAAACTTCATTATAAAATAAATTATTGTTTTTAAATCACAAATATGCACATAAATCAACTTAAGTGTTAAAATCAAGTAACAATAAAGACTTTTTTTGTTACTGATAAGTCATTGTATAACAATTTATTTAGTGAAAATTCTTTGCAAGACTCTGCAGAAAAGTATCGTATATAAATCATTTTAATATATAATTGTTGAAATTTACAACAATTATTAAAACTGAAGTTATTAAATGTTAATATCTATTTTATATGCTTTTGCTAACATTTAATAATTTCATTAAGTTAACAAAAGTATCAAGTGATCGTAATTAAAATACCTTTATTTAATGCTGTCTAAAAAGATATTTAGCAGTCCAAATACAACAAAATATGATATGGTGACATTTCAGGAAGGCAGAAGATATTTTAGTAAAAATAATTTACCACTAAGGCACTTTGGCATTGCAAGCAACAAATATTTTATTTGTGCAATGCTGAGAATACTATTTAATGTGAAACATGAAGGCAATGAATGGTGTTTGACAGCTGGCTGTAATTGACTGTAGCTGACTGATGCTTCTCGTATGCAATGTGATAGTCTTTCAATGCTGCCAAATTTGCATTGTACCCTCAAAGTGTCCCAACAATCAAAGATAACACAAATTATGATCCAAAATGCCATAATGGTGAGTCCAATGAGTTTTGATACTAATTTTTTTTAATATTTTTTACAGACAAGTCTTCCACACACTTTAAAATGTCCCAATACAGTAGAGCCTCGAAAACTCGGCACTCGATAACCCGGCACTCCCGATAACTCGACCACACCATGGCAGGGCAAAAAATATCTTTAGTTAATTAATTTTCATGATAAAGACAGCTTTATGCCTCATAAAGTATTTTTCTAAGGTCTGTCTTATTAGGTAAATTACTATACACAGTGTATTCATTAATTTTCATTTTCATGTAGTAAAGGCTCTATGCCTTCATAGAAGACGTACTTTTCCTTTGTTTAAGGGTATTTGGGCAGTTTTTTCTCTGTTGTATTCTCAAGTAAACAATACATACAAGTACAGTNAATTAATTTAGAATACTTTTAATAAGACAGTAATTATTGGTTAAAATTTTTAAATTTCTACATTATTATTCATTTAATTTACTTTTACTACCCTGTTGACAATGACCACCAGTAGCCGAATGGTTTCATTTTTTTAATACTCTTCTTTCCGCCCTGTGGGCACTAAGAGGGCCTCTTATAGCAGGCCCATTATGGGTTCGGCCAGGCCCACAATGGGGCCTTGACCCGTCCAGATTCGATCCCGGGTCCTCCAGACCGTGCCGTCCTGACCGCCATCCGGCCGTCATAGCCGAATGGTTAAACACTTGTTTGTCGTGGGTTCGAGCCTCAACAACTGTCTGGTCACATGAGTTTTTCAGGTTTTTTTCACGTGTCCAGCATCTAAATAGTAGCCAGTTTCCAATTTGAAACATATGGTCAATCTGCCAAGGTGAGATGCCTCCTGGGCATCTCTGTGTGCCTTTTATTCGTACTCATCATGGATTCATCATGGGTAGTGAGGGTGGTGCCGACATATCCGGGATATTCCATCCCGTAAAAAATTTCTGGGATTTTATACCAACCTGAGGTTAAGGTGTTAGTCGACCAGAGCGGTAGACTTACACCTTAACCGCCTTGGACATCCGGTTATTCAATTTTAATTGTTTCAGGTGTTGTTTGTATAAATGATAAATTTATGTAAATATCATATGAATATGATATAAATATCACATGACAAATTTCGCATGTTATTTAATAGATATAGATGAGAGAAAAAATACAATGATTCCTTAATCCCTAATTAATCTAATGACTCAAGTAACGTTTCAATTTTAACTTTTTTTCGCTCTGTGGGCTTGTTTGTGTACCCGGTACGGGTTCGAGTAGGCCCACAATGAAAGTGGTTGGATAATGAGGAATGACCCTGACACATTCGTGTCAATTCGCAGAAATTTCTGTATATCTGACTTCACATACAAACTCTTGTTCCTCAAAGCCGCGGATTGGCACTTTTTTTTCACATTGCCTATAAGAGAAATATTACATGAAATTCTTCCTGTATTTTCTAAGATAACGTTATTCTTTCATACTCATCAGGAATTCGACCAGACCCATAATCAGGGTGACTGCATGGTGTGCAACTAGCCCGACATATCCGTATGATACCACCCATGAAAATTAATGAGGATCTGACACATACTTGAACCAAGGTGGCATCTCCAAAATATCTTTATTGGATCAATGATTAGAGTCATTAGAAAAAGTTTAATATATAAATAAAGTATAAATTACGGACAATAATTTGTTATAGAGAATTTACTTTACAATATATTGTAATAGGTAAGGTTTATTTAGTTACGGTAACGCGAAAAGTGGGCGAACTTTTACGGAAAACTGGCACCTATTTAGATGTTACTAACGTGAAGAAAACTCGGAAGACTATCAGTGTTTAATGGTTTTATCCACTAGGGCACTGGTGGACCTATAATATATTCTAATAAATATATTTGAATAAATTAGATGGTTAAATGGCCAAATGGCACAGCGGTTAAAATGACAGCCTACCACTCTGGAGAACCCAGGAAGAGTTAAAAATAAATAAGTATTAATATTTAGCGTGAATACGAAATTTACTTGTGAATTACTTTGCTTCTTACACGTTAGAATTTTCCTTTATCATTTTATCTTATTTACAAAGGTGCTAAATAATTTTAAAACTTATACAGTCTTTCACAATATTTTATCGAAAGTGTTTATCTTTCTACCTTTATCAATTTAGCCTATTAGCATTGTATATTTCTTTAGATGTTGAAATATAGATAAACATATAGAACCCATTAATAAAAAAGTTTTTTTGACAGAAGTTTATCTTGTATTTGATAAGCATTATAATTTATTCATAAAATAGTTTTAAGCAGTAAGCTGGGGATTCAGGATCGAATCCGTGCTAGTAACCCCAAAAATTTTTTTTATGTCTAATCTGTCCCAGATTTGTACCATCCACTTCTCACATTGTGGGCCTGGCCGAACCCATAACTCCCAAATTTTAACCCTTTCTGTCATATGGGCACTAAGAAAGTTTTTTTTTAACATGCCCATTATGGGATCAACCGGGTCCACAGTAGGGTTCGGTTAATTCCATTATGGACATCTTATAATGGGCAGCCAGATAGTGAAGGACGGGCCAGATCGCTCTTCCTGGAATTTTTCGGATCGTCCGGATCGATCCCGGATCTCTCCAGAGCCCTAGGATACCACTTTAACGGCTCGGCCATCTTGCCGATTATTGGATTTTATATGTACAGTACTTTACGTATGTACTGCACAGTAAAAACGTACTTAGTTCAGGGAGTTAATTTATCGTATTAAGGCTGCTATACACGATGGGTTAATCCTCAAAGGAGTAACCATGCATGCCTAATTTTGAGTCATTCCTGGATGTGTGGGGGGAAAAATTTAACAGTTTCGGCGAACTGTACCGACCACCTGAGTAGAATCGGCCATATTCTTTAGGTTAATTCTCAAAGGAGTAATCATGCATGCCTGACCTTTATAATTCTTGGTAGTTTATGGGGTACAATTTAACAGCTTCGGCGACCTGTACTGACCACTGAGTAGAATTGAAAAACCATTTGATTTTCCTGGAGCAGTGTCAGACTGCGCGGGCCGACCTAAACGTGTGTGAGAACAATGTCTCGTGAATGTTTGGAAGAATTATTTTCTATAACCTTATTAACTTTTATTATTTATAACCTAATAAATTAATTTTTCAGGTTATAAATTATTTTCGGA